TTTTGGTATTTTGGTCATAACGTTCTCTACTGATGTCCGATTAAGGTACTTCAAAGTGCATGGAAAGACAACTCGAAGAGCTACGATTCTTATAGAAATACATTTTTCCCTATTCGAACGTTTGCTATCTGAAAAATGGGTCTCATGTTTACTAAAAATCTGAAAGATATCTTATGTGATTGGAAGTCGATTTTTGGTAGTATTCTGGTCATATCCCATTCCTTTTGACTTCTAGTTGCATTCAATTGACTCTTATCCATCTTCAAAGCAGACTATTCATTTTTAAAAAATTTTGGATCTGTACTACAAATTTTTCCAAAAATTAGTACACCCAAAGGATGAAATTTTGGGAGCTATACTGTGATATTAGTACTGATTTGTTAGTAACAATGAATTATTATTGATATTTTGCTGTATATTTACCACGTATAAGAATTGAACATTTTTCCCTCTATATATAATTACATTTTAATTCATAAAACATTGCACGTGACATTGTAATGATGATACGGGGCATTTTTTCCTAATGTTTTTTAAAGCATTTGGATCAAATTTGTCCAAATTTGTCTAATTCTTATTAAAAGCGTGAAAATAAAGATTGAATAGTCTCTGTGATAATGATTGAATAGTCTCGAGTCTCGAGTCCCCTAATGCTTGTTATGAAACTCAATTTTTCAATAAATTAAATTAATCAAATTTATTATGTTGATAAAGCTTAGACATAAGAGATAGCAAACTTGAACTGAAAACAACTAATAGAATAATTTATTTACTTATATTCAAATTTGAATTGTAAAGGAAGAGAGTAATTTATATTTAATTGTCAAGGCTAAGCAATATTATAAGACTTAATACATTCTCAGGTGATCCTATTGAGGAAGGTAGAAAGGTTTTAGAAGACCCTCACCATGCCTCTCTCCAAACTCCATGATAGGAGGGATCATCTTCGTTCAAAATCTCTATTGATACATCAAAACTCTGAAGAAATCACTTCATATACACTATTAACATACCGTGCTCACATTGTACTCTAGTTTCTCAGTCTTTACACAGAATGATTTTCATTGTCCACGTGTCAACAATGCAATTTTCTTTTGGCAAGAATATTGTACATTAAGAAATCTCGTCTTGAATATGTTATGCAAGTGTATCTCTTATTAAAGAAAAAAGATAAGAACTTAAACGAAAACGCTGATGCAAACATATAGCAAAAGAAATTTACTGCTACTGAAGTTTATAAATGATTTGTAAATTCAATCACTCACAATAATTTAAGCCACGCATTCATAACTACTAACATTATTATCTTTAAATTTCGTGGGATCCACTACTATTTGTCTTTATAAATCATTTATAAATTTGCATAGCGGATGTTAATATAAATGTTGATTTCATTCAGAACTCTTGCCAATTTTTCTAAAGTTGAATTGAATCTTTATTCTTCATCCTAGTTTGGCCCTTATATTTCAAAAATTAATTTTCCCTAAAACTCGCTTTTAATCACACATGAGACCACAAATTTTCAACCACATAATTCATCAATTTTATCAAAATCTATTAAAAATAGAATTTATATATAAACCAAATTGGAGCTTCATTTTTCTCGTTTTTGAATTAAGCCTTTTTTTTGTCTTTACAGAATATTCCATTTGCAATTCTTGGAAAATGTATCCTATTTGCATTAAAACAATAAGCCCCATTTGAGATTTTTTAGGGATGGCAACGGGGTCTGGGCATCGCCACCCTACCCCGTCTTAGTCAGGGCAGGGCGGCTTTTTGCCCCGTTTTCTTCCCCATTTATTTTTATTTTTTATTTCTTATATACATTTCAAAAATTTAGAGTTATGCTATTATTAGAGAATAAAATACAAATTCAAAATGAGTTTTTAACGGGTAAATTGTCTAGAAATAAAATTATTTTTGATTCAAATATAAGTTGGTTCAAATGAATGATTACAGGCAATATTATTGTCTTCGTTTATTTTCTAGGTTTGCTCTGAATCAATAAGATATGATGCTGTTTATTAATTTTATTGGTTGTTAGTCAGTGCATAATTTAAATATAGAAGCTTGTTTTCTAAATAAATTAGAGAATATATAATTAGAAAATAGAAAAAAAATTGAATTTACGTATAAAATTATTTTATGAGACTTCTTTATTAAAAATGAGTTTTGCAAAATAATAATAATTAAAAAATTTGAGGCTCAATCATGGGTTAAGTCGAGTCTCGGTCCGCAATTGAGTTTTCTAAAATTGGGTAGAATTTGGAGTCCAATTGCCGGAAGCATTCTACATAATTATCGAGATTTTTGGAGTATTAAAGACTTCGCAATAGAGTCAAGATTTTGTCTTCTAGGGATAAGAAAAAATGCAAATCCAAGTAGCATGAGAACAGTATTCAAGCCTTTTCTTTTATAAAGCCTGTGCCTAGAATTAAGAACCAACTTCTATGCATACCCATATCTGGAAACCCCAAGCACAAAATCCCTTCTCAAAATGTTAGATCTAGTTACATAGCTGTAAAACTGATCCCTAAGTTTCTGGATTACAAATTCAAAATATATAAACATTGCTACTCGAAAATAAACGTAGAAAAAAAAAACTTAAGCTAAAAATAAATGACTGCTTTTGTGAATTTGATAGTTTTTCTTATTTCATTTTACTCTAACATTTTCATTTCATTTAATTTTAATAACATATTAAAATTTGTATAAATTCTTAGTCTCTATTTGGTAGAGATTAAAATTTAGATTTTAATGTAAGTTAAAGTCAATAATTAATTTAAACAACATGTTTTTATTGGACCTACTACTTTTCAACAACACATTTCATTAGTTTTTATCAAAACTGAATAAAGATTTGATTTTATTCATTACCAAATAGGGGCTAAAGAGATTCACCATATATTAAAGCTGGAATTATGCTAGTTGTATATATTTAGATGACACTATACCCCTGTTTGGTTTCCATTTTTTCTCATTAAAATGAAAAATATTACCGTTATCCATCACATCAAGTCACCAAGTTTGAGAAACAACTATATTTTCCAAAAAGATACTTGAATCGAAATTTGAACTCGTAATTACCGTGGACCAAATTTTGAATGCTAATATATAATTAAACATTAGTTTAACTATTTCCAAAATGCTGGTTATTTAATCACGTGCAATCCATGCTCCACAAAATTGGATATGAAATGGTTTAACCAAATCCCATACGTGAATTTGATTTCTGAAACCATTTCAAAAAATACAATCAGATAATGGACATGTTATTTCATATCCTGTATCAATTTAACATGAACAAAATGTAAAACGAAATTTCACGTAAATAATTTCAACAGAATAACATGCAAATCATGGGAGACTCTTTACCATTTTTTAAATGAATTCAGAAGATAAACGAAGAAGGAGGGGTATTGATATTCTTCTCCAAACAAATCCAAAATGAATTATTCTTCTTGAACATGTACAAGATGATCGACATAATCAAACACAGGATTGAATGACGAAACCAAAACCAAAACATAATAGTAATCCGTGCTCACCGAATTCAAGATGTGTCCTTAAGATGAATTTGTTCCCTCCTATGATGTTTAAAGGCACAGTGCAATTGTCTTACATGATAGAACATATTCCCCTCTTACAAAAGCAAAACAATAATCTATAAGAGTTTCAACGGAAGACAACTTTGCACTTTATGTTCGAAAATCTGAAATAGAATATATGAAGTATTGCATTTGTATATGACGAAGCGAAAGAAAGGAATTCAAGTGAAAACCTTAAGAGCAAGAAATTTGGAATCCACCAAATAATAAAGAAAAAATAAATTCACGAATATATTAATGAAAGATAATAAAAAAAAAACGAACTAAGTTCTTATGTATAAGGGTTTATATGGAAACGTTGTTTAGAACAACTAAAAGTAATGAAAAGAGAAGTTTAAACAAACTAGAATTGTAGAAAACGAAGATAAAGAAATTGACAAAAATAGCGCCAAAACCTTAAAAATCGGTTTTCGAGGCCTAAACAAACTCGAACGGCCGAAATTCATCGTACGTCACAACATAGCGGTGAGTATTGTTTCCCTCATGTTCTCCTTCCAAAATGGTCTTATGGGACCGATCCGGAATCAAGATGATGATCTATTTCTACTAGTACTATTTTTCCAATATATCCATTATGTCCTACATCAGTCCCTTTCACCTCCGAAGAACTTGACCCCGAGTTATAACCTGGATACAAAGGTTTATCATCTTTATGGAACTCATACAAATCTGCCACATTGAATGTACGAGAAATACCCACAGACTCTGGCAAATCAATAATATTGGCATTGTTGTTAATCCATTTAAGCACTTAGAAAGGCCCATACTTTCTTGGTTTTAGCTTATTGTAAGTAACAGTGAGAAATCTCTCTTTCATCAAAAAAAAAAAAAAAGTGACCGAGTCCCCTTCCTAAAATTGTTTACCCCGTCTATTTGAATTTGCTGCTGCCTTATACTTTGCATTAGTTTTCTCTAACTTCTGTTTTACCTAATCACGAACTGTTATCACTTCCTCTATAGCAATATGAACTGCACTATTGTACTCAAACTCCACTTGAGGTAGTACAAGATCCCATTGTTTAGGTTTATCTTCACAAATACTTTGAACCATGTTTCCAAGAGTACGATTAGTAACCTCGGTTTGTCCATCAGTTTGAGGATGGGCAGTACTGGTTCGACTCAAATTGTTTCCAAAGAACTTTCATACAGTATTCCAAAAGTGCCCCAAAAATTTTGTATCCCGATCTGATGTGATAAACTTGGGAACTCCATGTAATCTAACAATCTCCCTGAAAAACAGTTTGGCAATATGTGATGCATATAAAGTTTTGAAATAAGCTATGAAGTGCGACATTTTGGAAAACCTGTCAACCACCACAAAAACAAAATCTACCTCCTGTTGAGTACGAGGTAATCTCTAAACAAAGTCCACAGCCAGATCTTGCATATGCCCTAAGGGACAGGAAGTGGCATGTACAACCCAGTATTCTGCACGTGACCCTTTGACACCTGACAAGTATAATACTTTCTGATTATAATTCCAACATCCCGCTTCAACTGTGGCCAATAATACCTAGCTTCCAAACTGCCTATTGTGCTGTCGCGCCCCAAGTGTCCACTTAGACCTCTACCATGTAGATCTCGAATCAATTTTTCACGTAGAGATGAAACAAGAATACAAATCTGGTTACCTTTAAATAGATACCCTTCACTAATATGGAAATCTACCATTGATTCCTGTTTCACACACTTATTCCAAATCTCATTAAAGTCAGGATCATCTGCATATAGCTCTTTCAAGCACTCAAACCCAATAATTTCTTGTGATAATGTGATCAATAAGGAAGCTCTCCAACTCAGTGCATCTGCAACTCTGTTGGTACTTCCAGATTTATGCTTAATCATAAAAGGAAATTTTTGGAGAAAGTCACCCACCGAGCATGCATCCTATACCAGATAGTGTTCTCACTGCTTTAAAGCCCTTACAACTGCATATAATTCTTGCTCATGGGTACTTCGTTTTCTACCTGGCATCACTTTAACTTTTCTTAAAATAAAGCCACAAATCTCTTCTCTTGAGAAAGGATGGCCCCAATACCAATACCACTAGCATCACACTCCATCTCAAAGATCTTCACGAAGCATGGCAAGGCTAATACTAGAGCTGTGCACAACTTTTCTTTGATGAAGGCAAAGCTCTTATCTTGTTCCTCTCCCCAACTGAACTTTCCTTTCTTCAAACATTCTGTGAGAGGTGCCATGATAGTGCTAAATTGCTTGATGAATTGTTTGTAGAAAGTTGCTAACCCATGAAAACTCCTTACTTCAGAAATTGGCTTTGGCGTTGGCCAATCTCGAATTGCTTTTGTCTTCTCTTCATCTACATGCAGACCATCTTCACCTACCACAAAGCCTAAAAACTATAGCTTAGATGTATAGAATGTGCACTTCTTCACTTTGATGTACAATTGATTTTCCTTCAAAACCTTCAGGACTTGCCTCAAGTGAGCTAGGTAATCCACCTTAGACTTGCTATAAATAGGATATCATCGAAATACACCACAACAAAAGAACCAATAAAAGGATGGAGAATCTGGTTCATCATCTTCACGAAAGTACTTGGGGCATTTGAATGTCCGAATGGCATTACCAACCATTCATAAAGTCCATCTTTACTCCTAAAGACAATCTTCCATTCATTCCCTACTTAATACAGATCTGATGATAACCACTACGAAGATCTATTTTTGAGAAGACCTTAGAACCCCTAAGCATATCTAGCATATCCTCCAACCGTAAAATGGGAAACCTGTACTTTACTGTTATCTTGTTGATGGCACGACTGTCAACACACATATACCACTTTCCATCCTTCTTTGGTACTAGAAGGACAGGTACTGTACACGGACTCATACTATCTCTTATTAACCCTTTCTTCAACAGTTTCCCAATTTGCTCCCTTAGAATCTCATTCTCCTTTGGACTCATTCAGAAATGAGGCAAATTTGGAAGGCTAGGTCCAGGTACCAAATCAATCTGGTGTTGAATATTCTTCATAGGAGGTAACTCTTTCAACAATTCATCGAAAGCCAAATCTTCAAGTTATGTCAATATTTCCTACAACTTAGGAGGATCACCCTAATCTTCTTTATTTGCTTTAAAAAGCCTTTTAAGTACAATTGGATAGAACAATTAGATTCTCTTACAGACTCCGTAATCTCCTTCTCAACATTTGTAAGTGTAAGGAAACTCTCAGTTCGTTGATGTGTAGACTTTTCCGTCTGTTTGAGATAAACCATAGCGATCTTATGACTGCCCCATGAAAAGAGTACTATATTATCACGCCCTTTGAGAGTTAAATCCACATCAAATTGCCATGGATGACTTAATAGGATATGGCAAGCTTCCATGTCTATGATATCACACATAACTTCATCCTTATAATGCTTACCAATGGAAATAGGTACTTTGCAAATTTCAACAACTTGAATAGAATGACCTCTCTTTACCTAACCAAGTGAATATGGTTTAGGATGGCTTTCAACTGGTAGTTTCAACAAATTCACCAACTTCTTCGACACAAAGTTTTCACAACTTCCATTGTCCACAATCACTTCACACACTTTATTCTTGATAGAACAAAGTGAACTAAAGATGCAATGACGTTGTCTCTCCTCCTTAGGTGATAAAAAGATTTATTGCAGTACCAAAATGAGTTTTTCTACTCCTTCCTCCACAGCAAACTCTACTCCCGTGTACTCATCTTCCACTTCAGTATCTTTCTCCTTATCTACTGCCTCCGATTCCACCAAATTGACTTGCTTCCTCTCGGGACAGTTATTGGAACGATGCCCAGGCTTTTGACATCTATAGAAAATTTTTCCCATGGGCTTAGCGTACAGATTTACATTCTGAGGTGCTCTCCGAGTCTGACTTCTGTTCCCAAACCGACCACTGTTGTCAACTTTACTCCTGTTAGAATTCACTGGGGCTTGTTGTGGGGCCTTTCCTTTGTCTAAAGGGGTGGATGATGATGATTCGGCAGGTAAGGGCCTCCTGTATGAAACCGTCATCTTATCAAATTCCATGATCTCTGCTTTCATCACCATGCTAATGGCTTCCTAGAACGTCCAAATATTCTGCATCCCAATTCTATCTTGAATGGCCTTCTTCAAACCACTGGTATACCTAGCTCCCTTTTGCTTTTCAGATTCTGACAAATTATTTCATTCCTCCAATTGCATAAATTCATTAGTTTAGTCCAACACTGTACGATTCCCCTGTATGCATTCCAGGTACATTCGACATAATATCTATTCATAATCTATAGGTAAAAATCGATCCATCAAAGACTGCTTTATCTTTCTTCAAGTTCAAATCCGACTATTTTCCTACCTCCTTCAAGCATTCTACAATTGATCCCACCATACTGTTGCCTCATATTTCAAACGAATGCCACCATCTTAACCATCTTGTCCTCTAAAACATCCATAGTTTCAAAGAATCTGTCAACCTCCACCAACCAATCCAAGAAGTCTCAATCTCCATGTTTCCAAAGAACGGATGAATGTCTACTTTGATCTCCTCCTCCGACTCTGATTCACTGTCTTCTACTACACGTCTTCTATTATTTTCTTTCCGAACTACAGGCTCAGCCATTCACTCATTATTGATTGCTCGTTGTTCATTCTGCTCATTGTTTTCAGCACCCGGTAGAAGCAATTGACGAATTTCTTCGATCAAAGTAGTGACATGTCAATCCGTCGATTTGTTGCATCTAAATCTGCCCTACTAACTAGTACATCACAGATGTTTATGAACAAAGATATAGAGAAAGGAAAGCTATCTCTGATACCACTTGACTCAGTGAAAGAAAGGAATTCAAGTGAAAACCTTAAGAACAAGAAATTTAGAATCCACCAAATGATAAAGAACAAATAAATTCACGAATTTATTAATGAAAGATAATAAAAACAAAAACTAAGCCCTTATTTATAAGGGTTTACATAGAAACATAGTTTAGAACAACTAAAAATAATGAAAAAGAAGTTTAAACAAACTAGAATTATAAAAAAACGAAAATAAAGGAATTGACAAAAATAGTGCCAAAACTTTAAAAATAAGTTTTCGAGGCCTAAATGAACTCGAACGGTCGAAATTCATCATACGTCACGACACAACGGTGAGTATTGTTCCCCTCGTCATTTTCCTTCCAAAATGGTCTTATGGGACCGATACGAAATCAAGATGATGATTTATTTCTACTAGTACTCCTTTTCCAATATACCCATTATGTCCTATATCAGTATATCATGTTATCATAAATATTTTGATGTATATATTCGCATATATATAATTTGAAAAATTGGTGCAATAATTCTGACATAGAAGAAGGCTATTTTTAGATGGTTCGTGTCCATTTAAACAGCTTAAAAAGCCTATTCAAGAACAGTAATGAATGTTCAAACACCCTTCAAAACAAATAGAGGCATATATTAAGTCGATCACATGCCAAGCAATAATGTCAATCATAGATCACATATGCTAATTACAAATAGTAGGTTAGTCATGTTCAGAAAAAACACATGAAAAAAGTCAAACGATTTGATTTATAATATAAATAAGAATAATTTCGTTCAGGTACACAAAGAATTTGATAACTATAATTTGGCTCAAAAAATTGAAATTTTTTTTTTCCAAAAGTATAATGTAAGATATGGACCTGCACCAAACTGAATTGAATGGAATCATCGACACACGACAACGACAACGCATGCACATGTGGACTTAGGACCTAGTTCAATAAGATCTAGGTCTTCCCCTTTCAAAGAGTAGTGGTACCTCTTGGGACCCAAACCCACTTGCCTAACTTCCGTTATATAAACCAAATAAAAGTTTTCAAACTTTCCTCATGTGGGATAAGTTATGGCAATTCAATCAATTTCATCCTTATACCAAGTTTCAAGTGTGTTATTTTCAATCAAAATATTTCATTCAAAACCAAATGGTTTTCGACAAACAAATGCTATCTTAGTCCTCTCACGATTTAAAACCTGAATATGCTTCATCTCGTTAATTTTGTATTATGAATCTCACAAAAATTTGAGCTCAAAGTTGACTTCTTTCACAATTTATAAATCATATTTCCTACTGGTACTAGTCAATCCAATCCATATTTATGTTCAAATTTTCTTTACAAATAAATGAAATTGAAGCTCACAAGATGATGATGTCAATGTTAAACCGATATCTTATTAAAGGCGAAGTGGGCTAAGAAAGAACTCATACTTACAAAAACATTACAAGAGAAAAAAAGTTACACTCTCAAACAAACGTGATCTCTTATTGATTGTGAAATTGTTCTCTTACAATTGAGAAACAATATAACATTGTATCCCAATACTAGTTGTTGTCTATGAATTTGAAACCTTATAACAATTGTTGAAACCTCAGATATAGTGAATTAAGTGTTGATAATAGTTGAGGAACTATGGTACATTAAAAATGTCAATTTTAGTCCATATCATAGGGTGATAAATGAGGCGAGTAGAGTTTCCCTCGACCGGCTTGTGCAATTTTTTTAATTTTACTGAATATACAGTTTATTCACATTGGCACAAGCCTACTCGTTATAGTAGATGAGTGGCCCTATGCTTGAACTAGAAAATAGCTACTTCACATCTGTGCCCATGCTTACACCCACGGTTCGCATTGAGCATGTGCCAAGCCGTCGGCTTGCCCCAGTAAGCATTCCTACTAGGTTAATAGGTTGGAAGTTAGATTTGGAGGAGAGATTTTTTTTTTGTTATTTGTGCCAATTAATTATAATCGAAATAATATATATATATATATATATATATTGGTACAATTTTGATATGTAATAATTTTTTATATAATACTTTTCACACTTTCATAATACTTTATCGATTGTGCTGCATGTACATAAAGGTTTACATATCTATGACATGATAACATATGATTGGGTTATAATTTCTTTAATCAAATAAAAAAATTGAAAGACTTCCCACTATTTTTTTTACACATCATATGTATGTAAATCATTATGTAACTCAGTTTTGTACAAATAGTAATAAATATAGATATGACTCCATAGTATCGATGAGATAATAGAGAATAGTATTTAATTGTTTTGACACACGTGAGAACAAATTATTATTGACATTTTACTATATAATTTATCACGTGATAAGCATTCTAATTTTTCTCTTGGACATAGAATTACAATTTAATTCAAAAATGCATTGCATGTGATATTTGAATGATGTCGTGACATTTTTTTTGCAAAAAAAAAAATAATAAATAAATAAAATTGTTTAAAGTAATCGGATGAAATTGTCAACACTTGCCATGTGCTCAATTCATATCAAAAGCATAAAATAAAGATTGAATAATCTCAAGTGGCCTAATTCTTGTTATGAAACTTATTTTTTTCCGTAAATTCAGTAAATCAAATTCATGTTCTCGATAGAGCTTAGGCACTTAAATTTTTCTAAAATTGAGGTAGCAATGAAGATGTCTGCCTTGTGGACTTCAGGTTTGAATCCAAGAGGACATGATATAAAGTTATGAGAATAAGATGGGTACATACTCTATCACAAGAAGGTAAGATAAGACTGGATCCTCCATTCAGCATCAGATGAATAATGTAAAAAAAAATTTAGTAATTATGAAATATATAAATTTATTAATAAGTAAATGAGTTTCCATACAACTAAATTTACTTACAGATAAAGATCATTTAAGAAAAATTACTAATAAATTTGGTAACGATTTAAATATTAAAAATTTGAGAATTAAACTAGTGTAGGGGAACGCTGAGATGAATATTGATTCATGTGTGAATTTATTTTGTGGATTGTCTAAAGAAAATAAGATAAAGATTAGGTCAAAGTTTTGAGTTACAGTAGGTTTTTAAAACTAAGTGCTTAATAAGGGGCATCGCACTAATTATGTATGAAAAAGGGTAAAGGCTTCTAGGTTGTGAAATTATCTTAAAAGATCCAAAAGAGGACACCTATTGAAAAATCAAAAAAAGAAAATCAGAAATGGATCAAGCTAGTGTATAAAATAGAATAGGCACAACGTAATTTTAAAAAAAATAATAATAATAAAACACAAAAAAAAAAAAAAACCAAGTGCATTAAACAGAAGATGCACTATATACATCGATTAACCTCCGAACACTTGGCTGAAAGAATTAAATCTTTGACAAGAGATGATTAGCCTAGTTGGGTCCTTGGGGGTGAATCAATAAAAAACATAAAGGAAAATTCTTATTTATTAAAGCGTGAACTTGAACTGGACAAACCTATTCTAACTAGAGAGGGTGAGGACTATGATTATCTGAATTTCAACCTAAGAACAAGTGAAAAATATAAGCTTAGTATGTATTGCAAGAGAGAAGAAAGAAAATATTTGACTATTGTCGGTCGAGAATTAAACCAATCAAACATGTGTCTTCACACACATGTCGAGTTTTGCATTGAATGAGTAAAAGTTAAGTTTAACTTTGTAATTTTGGAGCTATTCTTAGTTTTCATACGGAAGTCTGATCTTGAGACAAACGGCAAGCTATCTAACCAAGTTTTGTCAAGTTAGGCTGTAGTTTTTTTAGGGGAACAAATATTCAAGTTTGGAGGTGTGTGATAAGTTTTTTAGGCTGTGAAATTGAAGCATTTGTTGATTAATTTAATGAATAATGGCTTAATTTAACTTGAATTGTATTTATTAGAAACAATCGATGAAAAAAAGGCATAGTTAGAGAAAAATGAAAAAAGGGGACTAAATTGCTAGAAAGCTAAAATTGATGGACTAAATTTCAAATAATTAAAAGCCAACTGAAGAATGAATATTCGAGAGTGTTAGGATTCAATTGGGCACGAATAGAAATCAGGGGAACGAAAAACAATTGAAAAGGACCAAAATTGGACGAGAATGAAACTTTAGGGACCAAAGCCACAAGTCAGGCACATCTGTAACTCCCTCCCTACACGGCCAAAAGCCAAAAGGCTCCTTAGAGATGTACACCTCACTTAAGCCTAGATGCATGCCTAATTCAACTTCGAGGCAAAAATTCTGTTTCCTTTTT